TTCCATTGAAATCTATGGGGACAAAAACGCGCAATTCTTTCTGAAAAGTAGCTCATTTGCACTTTTTTTTGAGCGATGGGCGCTTTGTTACAAGCAACAGGACGCTCAGATGTGAACAAAGACTATTGAAAACAATAGTTTGCTTGTTGGGCTTGTTTTTGAGCTTTGGGTTACAAGCTACAAATTGCTCAAAAAAAAACCGCTTGAAAAAAGCTAATGTCGCACTTTTCAGAACCTGGCCTGAATTAGCTCTCAGCACAGCCAGAAAACTGACCACGCTTTTCTCTCCTGCCTTGTGTGGTCAGTTTTTTTAAAAAAAAATAGGAAAGCAGGGGGGGACTGGCAGGAGCACCAGGGATTTCACACAAAAGAAGCAATACAAAGAGAACAGGAGATTTTTTCATACAAGTTCAAGGCACAGATCGGGAATAGGAAACGTTGGGTTTACATATTGTTTAATAAATAAACCATCGATGCCGCCCATAGCGCTCAATCAGAATTTGACGTCCTTTGGTTGCAATGTGCAGCAGTCGTTGATTTAAGAGTATTTTCTACAACCTTTTATGCCCTTTTCTGCTTAAGGTGATTGTAGCCGTATTAGTGCATTTGCGACAGAAACAATTGAGTACTGTCCGTGATACTTTTTTTATTTGCACTAACATACAATTTTGAGGACAAGCTTTCGGGGTATGTCCCCTTCTTCAAGGTCTAAGCAGTACTATTAAAAATCACAAAGTTTAAGCAGAATGTTAGAATGGATTGAGAGAAAAAAAAAAAAAAAAAAAGGGCTACAGATAAGATACATCAAAAGTGAGGGGGGAGGGGGGATACAACACTCACACAGAGGGGGTCAAGTTTTAGCTAATAGATAGTCATAAAGCTGTCGGATAATGGTTGAGGAATCCCATGTCCAAATTAAGACCGTTATCTTTAGTGTCAAATAGAATTATCATTCTTAGTTCAAATGTTTTTCTTTCCTGGATGGATTAAATTTTCCTTTCAGAACTAAAATATTGAGGTCTTCCATATTGTGGCCTGGTTGTGAGAAATGGTGTCCTACAGGTGTGCAGAGGTCATCTTCTTTATGTTCCTTGATGGTATGTCTGTGTAAATTCATCCGTGTTTGCAACCTCTGTCCTGTTTCACCAACATAAGATCCTTTGCTGCATTTTCTGCACTGGATAAGGTATACAACATTACTGGAGGTGCAGCTGTATGATCCGGAGATATTGAAGATCCCTTTTGAGTGTCTGACACTTTTTGATGGATTGATTTGGTTGCACAGCTTGCAGCGTTTCTTATTGCAGGGTTTGCTTCCTTTTATTTGTGGCATCATAATCAGAAGGAAGTTTCCTACTGATTAGTTTATTTCTGAGGTTGGGGGGTTGTCTGAAAGCCAGTATTGGGGGTTGCTGGAATATTTCTTTCAGAGTTCCATCCTCTGTTATGATGGGTTGTAAATCTTTGATTATTTTTCTTATCCCTTCTAGTGCCGGGTTGTATGTGGTTACTAGAGGTACACGGTTGTTTGTTTTTTTCTCTTTGTACTGAAGCAGATTTTCCCTTCGGGTTCTCAAGGCTGTGGTTATGCTGGTGTTGATAGTTTTGTCCTTGTAACCTTTCTTATGGAAGGCGTCTGCTAGTGTCCCGAGATGTGTATCTCTGTCTCTTGGGTCAGAACATATTCGGTGGTATCTGATGGCCTGACTGTGTATGATGGCACGTTTCGTGTGTTGGGGGGTGGAAGCTGGAACTGTGGAGGTAGTTGCATCTGTCGGTGGGTTTCCTGTATATTGAGGTGTGAAGCGTATCATCCCTGATGTATACTGTGGTGTCTAGGAAGTTGACCTGTGTGTTTGAGTATTCCATTTTTAGTTTGATTGATGGATGAAAAGTGTGTTCATCAATGAGTAAAATTGTTTTAGATTTTCTTCACCTTCCGTCCATATGATGAAAATATCATCAATATAGCGAAAGTATCTGTATGGTTTTTGTTCCATGCTGTTCAGGAATTGTTCCTCCATGTCAGCCATAAAATAAATTTGCATATTGGGGTGCCATTTTACTTCCCATCGCAGTGCCCATACATTGAAGATAGATGTCCTTATTGAAAGCAAAGTAGTTGTGTGTAAGTATGAATTCAATGAGCTGTGTAACTCTGAAAGAAATATTCCAGCAACCCCCAATACTGGCTTTCAGACAACCCCCCAACCTCAGAAATAAACTAATCAGTAGGAAACTTCCTTCTGATTATGATGCCACAAATAATGGAAGCAAACCCTGCAATAAGAAACGCTGCAAGCTGTGCAACCAAATCAATCCATCAAAAAGTGTCAGACACTCAAAAGGGATCTTCAATATCTCCGGATCATACAGCTGCACCTCCAGTAATGTTGTATACCTTATCCAGTGCAGAAAATGCAGCAAAGGATCTTATGTTGGTGAAACAGGACAGAGGTTGCAAACACGGATGAATTTACACAGACATACCATCAAGGAACATAAAGAAGATGACCTCTGCACACCTGTAGGACACCATTTCTCACAACCAGGCCACAATATGGAAGACCTCAATATTTTAGTTTCTGAAAGGAAAATTTTAAATCCATCCAGGAAAGAAAAACATTTGAACTAAGAATGATAATTCTATTTGACACTAAAGATAACGGTCTTAATTTGGACATGGGATTCCTCAACCATTATCCCGACAGCTTTATGACTATCTATTAGCTAAAACTTGACCCCCTCTGTGTGAGTGTTGTATCCCCCCTCCCCCCCTCCACTTTTGATGTATCTTATCTGTAGCCCTTTTTTTTTTTTTTTCTCTCAATCCATTCTAACATTCTGCTTAAACTTTGTGATTTTTAATAGTACTGCTTAGACCTTGAAGAAGGGGACATACCCCGAAAGCTTGTCCTCAAAATTGTATGTTAGTGCAAATAAAAAAAGTATCACGGACAGTACTCAATTGTTTATGCCCTTTTCTGCAATTACAAATCTCTATGATGCTTTGCCACTCCGTAAGTAACTCCTTGTAGTCCTCAATAACGCCCTATCTATCCCTACCATTTTTTCTTATTTCCTCTTATTACGTCCCTACACTTTCATCATCTCCAGAGAGGTTTTAATATACGTGCTTCTCATCAAACCAAATTATATACCTGGCCCCATATTTTATCTGAGCTGCAAATAATTGTATTTTTGTTAGGTGCCAATCTGCTGCTTCTCTTCCTGGTGCAAGGCTTTTGAAATGTTAATGCTCTTGTACTGCTGCATATATACATATATATTGGGATTTGATGCGTGCAGGGTGTGCAAGTACTGTGTGTCAGTGCCCTACCCCCCCTTACACCCACACAATGATATGCCAGAATCTTGTGTCTGTTCTGCAGGTTAGCTGATGTCTGGTGGGGTGGGGGGTACAAGGGTGGGGGAGTACGGGAGGATTGACAAGGGGGAGAAGTGTGTTGGGGAGGAGGTGTACAATAAAATATTGGCAGAGACTTGGTCTCGTCAATGCAATATTAAGATCTAAAAAAAAAAAGAAAATATTAGGATCTAAAAATAGAGCGGTGATTTCAGAGATTTTGATAGCGGAGGGCGCTGCAAGGAGCAGGGTGCAAATGCTTTACAATCAGAGAAAATATATGACTTCTATTGCTCTGGATGTGCTAGACAGTCATGAGAAGCCTGTAATGTTGCAGATTGAGAAACGAGACGTTGGCCTGATTTTCATTGGCAAAGTGCAATGTGCAGAGTGCAGCAAGTCATTGAAACCAATTAGAAATTATTTATTGATCTGACTACACTAAAAGGAATGGAACCCGATTGGTTGGCCTTAGGTAAAGCTCCCACTTATGGGCTATCCAATACTCTTCTACCCTGGCTGATGGTGGGGGGGGTGGTCATTCCAAGATTTGTGGGGGTGTCCATGTCGTACAGAATTGTATGGAAAGTGCACACATATGCCAGGCTGGCATTTGATATCCCAGTAGACATCTGTCAGAAGTCAATAGAGAGCCGTGAATCAGCAAGTTATAATTGGAGGAAACTGTGTCTACAAATTAGAACTGCCTTTGCTCTACATAATGGCTCATATAGGAAGGCACGCCATGGTGGATTGCTTTGGAGACCACGGTGGACAGCCAGTTTTCATTTTTTTCGGGAGGTGAAACTGCTGCCTTCTGAATAATCCCGGCCGCCGCACACCTCACCCGGTCGTATGGTTAGCAAATAAATTTACCTCCAACACATTTCTCCCCCCCTCCCCGGGAATTAATAATTTATTTATTACAGGTACTTATATAGCGTCATCAATTTATGCAGCACTTTACATACATATATATATTGTACATTCACATCAGTCCCTAACCCTTAACCACCAGCCTACAGGGCACTTATACCCCCTTCTTGCTCAGGCCAATTTCTAGTTTTCAGCGCTGTCACACTTTGAATGAAAATTGCGCGGTCATGCAACACTGTACCCATATGAAATTTTTATAATTTTTTGTGACAGATAGAGCTTTATTTCGGTGGTATTTAATCACCTTTGGGTTTTTTATTTTTTCATAAACCAAAAACCACTGAAAATTTAGAAAAAAAAAGTTTTTTCTTAGTTTTTGTTATAATATTTTGTAAATAAGTGATTTTTCTCCTTCACTGATGTGCGCTAATGAGGCTGCAGTGATGGGCACTGATAGGCTGTACTTATGGACACTGATAGGTGGCACTGATAGGCACTTATGAGGAGGCACTGGTAGGTGGCACTGATGGGCATTGACAGGCATCACTGATGGGCACTGAAACATGGCAGTGATATATGGCATTGATAGGTGGCACTGACTGGCACTGTTAGGCGGCACTGACTGGCACTGTTAGGCGGCACTGACTGGCACTGATAGGCGTCACTGATGCGCACTGATAGGCAGCACTGACTGGCACTGATAGGCGGCACTGACTGGCACTGATAGGTGGCACTGATTGGCAGCACTGATAGGTGGCACTGATTGGCATTGATAGGTCGCACTGATGGGTGACACTGAAAGGCAGCTCAGATGGGCATTGATATGTGGCATTGATGTGCACTGGTAGGCACTGATATGTGGCATTGATGTGGCACTGATGGGTACTGGCACGTGGCACTGATGAGCACTGACACAAGGCACTGATGGACACTGACAGGTGGCACCGCTGGGGCTACACTGATCATCAGGGCACACTGATCATCAGTGCCCTGATGATCAGTGTACATGTCCCCTCTGCGGAAAGCCGATTACCGGCTCTCCTCTCCTCTCTTCTGTCAGCGTGACATCTCGTGGGGAGAGAAATGCCGATAACCGGCATTTCCCTGTTTACAAGTGATCAGCTGTGATTGGACACAGCTGATCACATGACTGAGCCGACATCTTTGGCATTTTCCGTGATCGGTGATCCGCTGTGTCCAAGGGACACAGAGCACCGCCGATCGCCGTGCTGCGCGCTCCCTGAGCCACGCATGCGCGGTGAGAATGGGAGGACGTCATATGACGTCGTCCCAGAACGAGAGAACCACCTTGCATCCGTCATTGTACTATATGGCGGGCGGGAGGTGGTTAGGGATGTACAATCTAAAGGCCATAACTTACATTCATACATACACATACTAGGGCCAAGTTAGACAGAATCCAATTACCCTACCAGCATGTCTTTGGAGTGTGGCAGGAAACCGGAGTACCCGGAGGAAACCCACGCAGGCACAGAGAGAACATGCAAACTCCAGGCAGGTGGTGACATCGTTGGGATTCGAACCAACAATCATACGATTAAGCACGAGATCGTGTGAAACGCGTTAACAGGTCCTGTGTTCATGTCCTGGTGTTTTGTGTGTCCTATGGATCAATAAATATACACTATATTCATCTATTCTCTGGTGTGCGGCTGACCCTTCTTCCTATTGAGTAAGGACAGGCCTATCCCCAGCCTGCACCCTCATCCACCTCACTGGATTTCGGTAGCCTTAGCGGGGCCCCTACGCTTTATCCAGGTCACATGCTGCCTTTTGAATGCCTGTTTTTTTTCGGTAATCTCATTCCTCAGGGGGAGGTTTTCTATCCCAGTGTGGATTTTATATTGTATTACCGCGCAGCAGCCACCATAGCCTGGTTTGGCACATGGTTGTGATGCAGTCCTATTGAATGAATTCACCGGGTGAGTTTGACAGGCGGTGACACCTGTCAAACATAACATGCCAAGTTACAATTTGGCAAACTGCAAAGCAAAGTATCACAGCCGTGACAATGTGAACTCACCCCTCCGGCCCCCATATAAAGTCGGAGGTGGGTGGGCGCTAGACAGATCAGTACTTTACAGATATCACAGGCCTTTTATTTATTTATTTCAGGTACTTATATAGCGCTGTCAATTTACGCAGCACTTTACATATATATATTGTACATTCACATCAGTCCCTGACCCTCAAGGGGTGTACAATCTAAGGTCCCTAACTTACATTCATACATATACATACTAGGGACAATTTGGACAGGATCCAATTAACCTACCAGCATGTCTTTGGAGTGTGGGGGGAAACCAGAGTACCCAGAGGAAACCCACGCAGGCACAGGTAGAACATGCAAACTCCAGGCAGGTGGTGCCGTGGTTGGGATTCAAACCAACAACCCTACTACTGCCAGGCGGAAGTGCTAACCACTAAGCCACTGTGCCACCCTTTTTGACAAGGGCAGCTGGAGGGATGTAAAAACAGGCAGCTGAGTTGTGGTTTTAGCACCATTCGCCCTCTCACCTAAAATGTAAAATACATGGTGCGGCTGCAATACTTTGCGTTTCGGGATATGAAATTTGGCTCCAATGGTCGAAATCAGCCATTCAAGGCAATGGGGCCACACTGCAACTGTGAGCCAAATACTTGGCTTGCAGATGTGACTCCTTAGCCCCAATAGAAATGGCTGTTTGGCATAAAAACAAAACCAATAACAAAAAAACAAAACAAAAAACAGGTATTCAGGAGGTGTCAGGACTACAAAGCACATAGGAGCATGGGACAAAGTACCCTCTGGGGGACAGAACACGGACAGATAATTGAAGTACAAGTTCTTACTTCATGTCTGAATGAATACATTGCTTTACCTGCCATGCGTCCCCTTTTCATTCCACTGATTCATTGAAGACGGAACCTTCGGTACACCAGATCCACACTCTCACTTTTATGGGTGTTTGAAAGATGTGCGTAATTAGTTTCAGGTGATTAAATGCCCTGTAACAATGTGGAAATAGATGAATAGAATAATGTATGGGCTTAGAAATGGGGAACCTGTAGTGGAGAGAAGGTTGTCTTGGCATGGAGGCTGAGAAGTGATCGGCATTAAGTGCACCTGTACTGAGATCAAAGTCTAAAATGTAAAGTAGGTGCCAAGAGGTGATGGTTAATAGCTTAATGCATTTTCCTGAGAATCCCCTGGGATTCCCAAGCCTGGGTTCTTAATAGGCTCATTTTGATTCTAAGCTCCTAAGTCAGAGATGCTACACTAAGGAATTTAGGATGGCATGGTAGAGTCACAGTCATGGAGCAGGGAACAGACTTTAGCATTTTGAGCTCACTGGGCTGTGGAGGTTCTTAGGGACTTAGACTTAGACCCTGTTCGCTCTATGACCTGTTACACCATGCATCAAGCTTTTCCATGTTTTATTCGTGATATAAAAGTTAATTCAAGAGGTGGAAATAGTCTTTTTTTGTTGGCATAAGTATTCACCTTGCTTAGTGTAACCACATTTGGTTTCATTTACAGCTGCAAGTGTTTTGGGCAGGGCTCAACAAATCCCAGGCGCCATGGTGACTAGAAATTGCATCCTGGCGCCTGGGCCGTCAGCCCATTGAAAAGAGAAAAAAACCCCGTCTAGAGTAGATAAGATAAAACTCCTGCATAGTAGTGAAATCTGTACATGTCTATGGCTCTTCCATTACACTGTAAGGGGTTGAGGGACAGGGCTGGTCCTGACTCTGTAGGCTCTACCTCCATGCAGTCAGAACGAGCCCCAGAACGGCCCGGAGGGGGAGACCATACAAAGTCTGTCGTTAACCCCACATCACTAACTTTATTCCAGCCAACGGATCTACAAGACTGCATAGCCAACCCAGTTTTCTTTTTTTTTATGTTTTTTTCTTCTACTCCATAGATCACACAGGCTCTCCACAACTCCTGTGTTCACCTGCCCATACACTTTGTACAACCTCTGGGCAATCTCCTATAGAGTTACCAATATGATATAACATGAGGACCTACCTAAACAATGCTTTCCAACCAGGCAGGCCCTTACAGCACATAGTTGATGGAAGGTCTAAGGCGATCGTACAATCTAATTGTATAGTGTATAGTGAGATTTAAAGTGGAAAGGTGCAGGCCTGTCCAACATGGACATTGTGCATGCTCGGAAAAGCACATTCTTGGTTCCTAACTTTTTTTAGCTGGCTCCTAGATTCAAAGCAAAGCTTGCAAGCCCTGGTTTGGGGTCTTTATCAGTTTTGGAATTTTTGCCAATTCTTCATGCAGGTTGGATGGGGATAGTCAGTAAATGCAATCTTTATGTCTTTGCATGGATTCTCATTTGGATTAAGGTCTGCACATAAGCCTTACATTTAGGCACCTGGCATTACACAACATAATGTGCTCTGTGATTGTGTGTATAGGGTCATTATTTTGCTGGAAGGTGATACTAAACCCCAGTTGATAGATTGACTTAAGTACAACCGGCCTGCCTGTAGACAGATTTTAATTTGTCCGATTCCTCCTGAATTGGCGGAATTTCAATCCGTCTATGGCCGGCTTTAGGTCTCTTATCAACTGAAACTGGTTTTCCTTTCAGAGTGCCTGTATTTGGCTCCATCCATCTCCCGCTCAATCGAGACCAATTTCTGAGATCTTACAACTGAAAATAATCCAGAAAACATGAAGCAACCTCCACCATGTTTCACTATGGGGAGGGTGTTCTCAGGCGATGACCAGTTTTGTGGTGAGACCAAAAAAAGTTAGTTTTGGATCACTTGTTTGGATCACCTAACTCTGTACCTGCCATGAGTGAGTCTCAGTTCATTCCTGTAGATGTCTGTGGAGGGAGAACAAATACAGACACAATCATAGAAATGATCGAAGATTGTGGTAGGTGCGGGACTGCATCATGACCTTTTTGAAGGAGCTGTGGTGTGCTGGACAGGGACGCTCAGTGGAAGTCTCATGAGTGAGTTTACTGGTAAATGTTTAGTCAACGAGAATCAAGTAGGGGGGTTAGAGGGTCTACTGAAGTAGCCATGCTCTTTCCCTACAGGAGATAATTTAATATTGAAAGTTATATAAAATGTTAAAAACACACCTAGAACTTTAGGACAAAAACCCATCATTTCAAAAATGGACGTTCCAATCCTCTCACTTTCACCACTCGCTAAGTCTAAGAATGCACCATTAGCCCCCCTAATTACCATACTTAGACTTAGCGAGTGGTGAAAGTAAGAGGAATGGAACGTCCATTTTTGAAATGATGGGTTTTTGTCCTAAAGTTCTAGGTGTGTTTTTAACATTTTATATAACTTTCAAGTGAACCCTTATGGCTTTAAAATAAAGAGCACCTAGTGAGTGAAAGCAGACTTTAAGGGATGCCTGTAATTACCTCTGGTAACATGGCAGCTCCATGCTCCAGAGTTGGACTCCTGCCATGCTATTGTGCCCTTACATGAGCCCCTGAGATGCTTGTATGCTAAGTAGAAGTATTGTCTCCTGTTTATTACTTTAATACCTTTACAGGTTCACTTTATAAACTTTTAAGTAAGTTTGTGACACATGCTTTTGTCCCCGGTCAAGCCGGTGTGACTTGTCATGCGATTTGATAGTTTCAAGTCGCACCCTATTGTCCGCAATGGAAGCGGTCATATCAGTGCGATTCCGACTCCGCTGTACTTCATCAAATCGTGCAAATTTAAGTGAAGTTGTTGACGTGACCAAAGACTTCACGTTCTGCTGTTTTAACTTCTTGCCGACCAGCCACTGTAGAAATACAGTTGCAGGTCGGCACGGCTGGGCAAAACCACGTTTTAAAACTTGCTTTTGCAAAACAGGCCTGCCCTACCCATCCCGCCGTTCGCAGCCGCTGGTGTCAGTCGCCGGGTCACGGCTGGTCATTACCTACCGTGTCCCAGCGATTAGTGGCAATCACTGACAGAGAGGACGGCTGCAGTGTTTACACTGCAGCTGTGCTTTCTGTCAGCTCCTGACATGCTGATCAGGAGAGAAGAGTTTATCTCTCTGGATCAGCCTTGTTCCCATGCAGTACACACCTCCGCCCCCTAGTAAAACACTCCCCTCACACAGTTAACCCTTTCAGTAAATAAAAAAGTTAACCCCTTCCTCCCCAGTGCCATTAGTACAGTGTCTGGGTTTTTTTTTTTGCACTGATCACTGTATTGGTGTCACTG